AATAGGAAGGCAAAACAAAAAATTAAAAAATCTTAACATGCTATTTTTTTTTTTTTGAATAATTTGTTAAGGGATAGGTTTGAAATCCATCTAAAGAAAAAAAATAATGCATCTCAAGTTGACAGAAGACCAATTAACCCGAAAAGCTAAGTTACTTAATATGTTAAAACTTTCATCAAATTATTCATCATATAAATCTCAATTTAAAACCCACGTAATAAATAATTTGATGGTCTCGCACTCGGTGGCTAAATAGCCACTCCCTTGTAAGGGACGTGCGTAGGACTACAAGGATTTGGGATCAATTTCAAGTCCCCCCATTTCCCATTTCCTCAAGAAAAAAGATATCACATTGTTTAAAAAAAAATAAAAAAAATAAATAAATAATTTGATGGACGTTTTGATGTATCAAAATATCTTAAATTTTTTGAAAAGCAGAGCAAGATAGCAAAAAAAAAAAAAAAAACAAAAAGGTAGGTATACAGTAAGTGGTAAAAAACAAAAGGCTCAGCATTCGAGGGGGTGACCTAGCGGTTCGCGCGTGACGATAAGCTGAAGTAAGGCGCGCCGCCCTCCATCTACAGTGCTTTGTAGTGCGAGTATTGAGTGCAGGGGAGAGGGAGGTGGGTTGGACGGACATGGACCCGACCCACGCCTTCTTTTATTGGTTTAATTGTATGCTGCCTGGGCCACCACTTCCTGCTTGGCTAACGTGCGCGAATCTGCGCGCATTGCGCCACCGCCTCCGTATTTCCTAGGTCATGTCGGATTTTATTACAATAAATACGATGATTCCTCCGTTCCCAACTTCCGTGCTCCGGATTCTGGAACCAATGACGATCGATGAGTGAGAGAGAAACAATAATAATATCTCTGTCGCTGCTCCGGGTGTCTGATCTCTTGACATGTCAACTTCGATCGGGTAGTTATGATCCTTGCTATTTCATTAAAGTCATTTATAACAGAAATCATTTAATTTAATTGGTATGATATTTGTTTATTTAATTTAAAATGATTTTAGAAGAAAGTTCGTCACTTACTAACTTAACAATTTAATGTAAATT